CGCCAAGTTCTACAAGATCTACCCAAATTCAGTGAATCATGTTAGGGCGAGAAAGCTAGACGATTAAAAAATGTATAAATATTTTGTGGAGGTGAATTCGGACCATTTATGTACTGCTGAACTCGCAAATGTTTATTGAAAATTTTTTATTAGATCTGAATTGATTCACCCTTTGATTCTAAGCAGCAGGAGCATTATTCAAGGATTTTATTCTAGGAAACTATGATCTGGAAAAAGGGGTTCAAGTCGAACCGAATTCATAGTATGTAATTTTACCAAGATCATAACTTGATGAGCTTGCCCGCTTAGACATTGCGTTTGTTCAAAGAAAAAGAAATTGTGCCACTAAAATCACGATAACTAGTACATTTCTGCTTATCTGAAGCTGTACACGTCGAACTTCGTTTTGGAGCATGTTGAAACCAGGTGGCTGTCCCAGGATTTTTTGGCATCTTGGAGGAGGAGTGGGAGGCAACAGAAACTTTTCGGAATGAAAAGTTGGCCTTGAGGGAGCTTCGGGAAAATGTGAGCAATTTTTCAAAGCTAATTTCTGCCAGAACAAATGTGGATCCGATTTTCGTTAAGCTTGAATCCAACTCGTAATTGGTGACTGTCGTTTGCACGTGGTTTTTTGGTTTATAGTGTCTCTGCCGATTTTCAAACATTTATTCCTGCCCAATTCTTAGCAAGGATGTACACGAGGTCATCTTTGCCATTCCACATGGACTATAAAAGGAATCTCCTGTAATGCTGGACATGTTGGCTATCTGCAAAGTGATCTTATGGAGGAAGTTATGAACATTTTTTCTTTTGAAAACCGTGTTTTATTGAATAGCCAGAATCATCAGTGCTGGCCAAGTTGCTCGCTTCTAGCTACAAATTGTATTTTGACTATCTAATGAATAAAAGCAAGGAAATCTTAAATTAAAATCTTTCACGGAGTTCAGCTGGCACGTATCCGTACTGTAGCATGCATGGCTTCTGTTGCAGATGTCCGAAACCACCGCCTTTCGGCGACGTGTATTTCTCCACCCGCTTCAAACTAATGTAAGATTCCAAAGTCCCGTTGAGATTAGAACTTCCTTCCATCACAATTCAGTGTCAGATTTTCGATCATAGCTCATCAAGTCATGCTCCAGCCACTGACTAGAGACGAACCAGTAAAATAAGCAAAGAAGGGCAGACGGTGAGAGTGATGGGATGGCGTCCGATGGGACCAGAGTTCGCTCAATAACGCTCCTGTGAGTCACATGATTGAGCCATGAAACCTTCACAGTTGCTGACATCAGTACAGACTGCATTACTCACGCAGTGCCTTCTACAAGATTTTCTTCGCCTTCTTTCTCCTCTATAACGTTATTTGCTATCGGATTCTAACTAGTAAATTTTATTCAGTTTCAAATTCTTATCATCTGAGCAGTTTGAAAATCGCAAAAGGTTTGAGCGTTCGCTATTTTTGTGCTTTATTAGCCGCAGAACGCATGAAGTGCATTCACTATGGTGAGGAATACGCGCGCGCCGCGCCCGCTCAACTAATACTGCTTCTGCGCCTTCATCTGCAGTAGACTTTCAATATGAATCACAACCAAAATTTATTCATATGCAGTACGCAGATCTAACTAAGAATTTCGCCGTAATTATACTGCTGCCCATGCGGATGTGTCTGCATTTTAGCGCATACTGGCGTGGCGCATCGGAATCGAATCTATTGCTGCAGTCCCGGATAAGTATGTACGTATATAGGCTGGCACGGCTATACGGCTGTACGTATATACCAGTGGCGTACCGAGGGGAGGGGCGGGGGGGGGAGGGGGGGGCGCCCCTTCCGAGAATGGGTCGCGAAATTTTTGAAAGTTACTTAAATGTGTTATAAAAATGTGCAGAGGACTTGTATTTACTTGTAAATATTCAAAATAATTTTTAAAAATTTTTAAAATCCAAGTTAGCTTTGTAAAAAAAAATTTTTTTGGGGCGTGGCTGCCGCCACGCCCCCTTTTTCTCTAATTTTTGGGTCATGGACAGCCTCACTTCAGCATTCCTGTTAATGCACTACTTTTTAAATTTGCACCAGTCAGTGACATACAAAACTGTGAAACCCATTTCTATGCTTGAGCAATCGTCCGTGTATTTTTCGTGGTTTTACCTATTTATACAGTCATGATAGGGGTACCGCCGTCCTACTGCAGTGCAGATTGCAAATGTGGTGCAAACACACAGAACGACTGCTGAAATGATCGCGACTGTACAACGACCCTCTGACCGTTACTAATCAGAAAATTCAGTTCGAGGCTAAAAGATGCATACTGATAATTCAGTGAGTTCTCCAAAGCTGAAAAGAGTCTCCCCTTCAAATAAAAGACTGATCGGGGATTACACGAGCTTGCTTGTAGTCCTTGAGTTAGACTATAATAAATTCTATCTTCACCTTTTTCAAGTGCACGTTCATAAACCATGTGTTCTACACTGCACTATGTTTGAATAGCGATCTCAAAATATTGATTGAATCACATAAGCTGAGATAAAGTGTATCTCTCGCTTTTTGCACATATGTTTCACATATGAACCCTGTGCTATGTGAGCTGTCATTTAGCGACGTCTCTCCGCTGTAACACGCGAGTATCAGATGCACTCGTTGATTTTTGCTCTAAAAAATCGCATTCAAAGAGATCCAAAAGAAAGAGAAGGGATCAACTAGAGCATTTACAAGAAAACTTCTCGAAAGTTAATAAAAATACCTAAAAGAGAAAGCGATATTAACAAATTGTTTTCACAGATGCCAAACTTGAGGAAGTATTATATATACATACCTGTACTCGTTGAGATATAAGGTTATGAAGTAACCTTTATTCTGTCAAACAAGCCAGTAACGTCAAGGATTCGGTAGGCCGAGTGATCAGACTTTCTTTACGTGCTTATTGTGACTAAGTATCTTATATAGAGATGCATCGTGACCTTTATACCATTTTTCTCGAGAAAGCTCACAGATATTGGTAAGGAAGATGAAATGTGCTGCTGCATTAATTATGGTACATCTTTACATCTTTCATCTTTTACTTTTACATGTAAATAGCACAAGCTAGGTATTCCTCGACGGCGAACGAGAAGAATAGTGTTCACGCCGGGGCTTTGCACATCAGTAGTACACAAAATCTCATTTTTGAACGAAAAAGAAAAGCAGAACTACCTAATATCAAAAGGCACAGGTAGGGCGATGAAATTTCTCCTCAAAGCCACTCAGACAGGGAATGGGGTGTTATGTTATGAAGGCGCCACCATAACTAAACCGTTGCCTGTATTGAGGTGCCTACATTTTATCGCTAACTTTGGCGCGCCATAGTGGAACCGGCTCCGGCGGCGCGCTGGCTCGTACGCTGAAGTGCATGCACGTGGGTACATCATAGGCAGGAGAAGCCCTTTGGCATGACAAAGTAACAAAGCAAACAATGCACAAATAAGCATGCAAAACGCACGCGGCCGCTGCCGTTATCTGAACCCTTTATTTCACGTACGGAGAAGTCGCTGACAACACTCATCAAGCTTTGTCCTGGTCAAAAGTGCGAAGACCAAGTGGAAATAAAGATAAGAAGTACTTAATTTAACGGTCCTGGCCGCGTGTGGACTTGATGATACAATCGCGGCGTAGTCTTTTGGACCCTAACCACCCATACCGAAAGTGTTGCGCTAGTAGTAAGATTCAAGCAAAAGCATAATGCTACAATCAAGTCAGCAAAGTGCATAGCATGTCAGCAAGTGCAGGTGAGGCTTCTATGGTCTGTGTGCCGACGTTTTTTCACAACTTTAGCCGCTTCGCATGCCTTTTGCGCCTTTGCGCCGCCTTTGGAGCGTCTTTTTAAGGCATTCAAATTTTGGACTCGGTATAAAGGCATAGAAGGCAGCATATGCGCTTGAAATGCGGCGATACCTACATATGTTAAAAATACACGGGCTATATGTGTCATATACGGAACTCACAATACCGTATAGTTTTACAGTGTTCTAATTATACTTGTTGTCTACAGCTTCGAGAGATAATATTTCAGTCCTCTAGCTGTAAAGAATAGCTATGTGAAGCGCGTAAATAACATGCGGACTTTTTGTCAAAGTGTATATGTACTTCCTCGCAATCGATCGCATGCACATCCAGGGCGGCCTGCTTGAGACCGAGTCCATTGAGATTAGTTCTGTGTAGCAGTCCGAGGTTTCTTTCAATAAGTTGCTTTCTTCCCATTAAAACTGTTTGGTGCAGAATGTTGACGTATTGGCATATTTGAGTCAGCGCCAATAAGAGCGAGTGCTTAGCGCTCAGCTCACCCTAACTCTTTTTTATCTCTTCAGTGGACTAAAGTTTTCTTTTCGGGGTTTTCACGTCACTTCTTTCACTGAATTTTCAATGTCGAGTCTTGGTACCAACGTAGCAAGTGTATTTATGACTTCGCTATCTTAGTCAAACAGGTCTTGCTTCTTTTGTTGGAAGAAATCTAAGGATTCTCTGACTAGTAAATTTTATCTCAGGGCATGTCTTCGTCATCTTTTTATGCCTATTAAGTGAACTTGAAGTTGCTGGCACTTTCTGGTGAGTGAGAGACATTAATTGCCCTTGCCAGAATGAAACAAGCAAAGTCTCCCTTGTCGCTCGGATACTCTCCCAGTCAATATACCACGGAAACAACATACTTGAAGTATAGTGCAAAACAACACAGGTAACAATGATTAACGTCGAAAAAATCATTTTCTTACTGTGCCTCCCACTAATACGTCAGAGCCGTCATGACGCAAAGCACGAGCGTGTTGTGTGCGCGTTTGCGGTTTCAAACGGCTGCCTGCCCTTTCAGTGTTCGGCACGTCGGTTATACATTTAGCCTCGGAGGTTACCATGGTTCCATCTTTAGCGCTTAATATTTACTAAAAAATCCTTTAGCCCAAAGGCTTTACGATTTTTTCTTGTTTGGAGAGCATTCTTTGGGAGCTTGGGGGAGTTTTTGCCGTTGCTGCGGACGTGACTTTTTGTATGCCATCGATCGAATCATTCTTCTGCCATTCTCATGGTTCTATTCCGTCGGAGTCCGTGGTTCTAAGCATTTGATGCGCGATAGGCATCTCGGTCTTATCTTGTTCCGCATGTTTTCCTAAATTTGCACTTTTTTCCAGGTAAGAATGTTATCGGTGGCAAGGCGCAGTATTGGTAGCCTGGTGTCCCGCCGCGCCTATGCACCTCTTGCTGCGCACACAACCGATGCTAAACAGGGAAATATCGCCAACTACAAAGTTGTAGACCATGCTTATGATGCCATTGTCGTTGGTGCAGGTATCTGTTTCAATTCATTACCTCAATTTCATTTTGCTTCGATTTCGTTTTCAATCTGAATCGTCGTTAAATTTGAAAATGAGCAATTATTTTTGTGCTGAATTCGCTTGCTAATAAATGGGTATAGGGCTGCCAAATCGTGAAGGTCGGTGAGTTTGCGGCCACTGCATATGCAGGATGCCAAAAGGCCTCAAACCAGTTAAACGACCTCCGTACTTTTCAAAATTTCTCCAGGTAATTGAAAGCTAACGTATGATTGCAGAAAAGCGTTTGACAGGAAAAAAAAACTGAGGAAGTCTCATGGTGGCCGAACTCATTGAACTTCACGATAACGCAGAGCTCTATAAGAAAAGCACCAATCTCAAGTAATTCTCCAATTCAATGGACTAGGAAGGAAAGCTGTCAGTAGCATTGTGCAATATCTTAACGGTTAATTTCTCAGCACTAACTTTGATTCCCACTTTTTGGCTTTTTTTGTTCCTCAAGGGCCAACAAGATACAGTAACTCATCAGCTGATTGAGCGTGGTGCTGTGGGGTAAATAACACTTTCCCAGACATCTATGCCCTTCAACTAACGTGCGTGAAGCAAAATATTTTGGTACTCCTGGTACCAATTTGTCATGGAATCTGCGAGATTTCGATGAAGTTACCAGCTTTAAAAACACATTTTTCTTCAAAAGTTTGATTATATGAGTGCCGTCTCTATACCCACGTGCTTGAGGTCAAATATCGGAAGTTTTTCTGCAATAGTCACTTTATTTTTCCTGCGGTGATACTAGTCACATGGAAGTAACATTGATACGTGCAAATCGAAGAAGTTACATTGATAAAGGGTACTCTTGCGGCATGCACATCTTGAAACTCTGATTCTGATCGATTTCTTTTTCGAAGCATTGTTACTCACTCATCGTTTTTTTTTCTAGGAGGCGCAGGCCTACGTGCTGCAATGGGATTGTCGGAAGGAGGTCTAAAAACAGCCGTGATTACCAAGATTTTCCCTACCAGATCGCACACGGTTGCAGCGCAGGGTGGTATCAATGCAGCTTTGGGAAGTATGAATAAGGATGACTGGCGCTGGCATTTCTATGATACAGTCAAGGTAATCATGAAGTTCGGATGAAATTACATGTAATGGGTGTTCAAATGTCTTTGAGATTGCAATTTCACTGCAGTTAAAGTTTGACCAAGGTCAGATTCATGACTTGGCTGCCGATGTAGTGCCACTGTATCCTGAATTTGTTTTGACGCTCAAAGTCTTGTATTCGTGGGAAGTTCATGGTGATAGAGGAGTTTGCGAAAAAAGTGACATATGCACTGTTTCTTTATTTTTTAATACAATTATTATTTGAAACAAACGTTACAAAAAACCGGATATTTCTCCATTTTATCTATTTGTTATTACATAGGATGAACCCCCAAAATAGAGTTCCAAGACCAGATGGTAATCCAAGCAGTTATAATTTGGCTTAAGTCAAAGCAGCGTTCAAAATGCTTATGTTGAAGATCTGCTTCAAATAAGTCTAAACTGTTACACTTTGGTGATCTAACCGAAAGTGTGAAGAGTTCCATTTATTCAACATCTGCAAAGCTCATTTTGTTCAAAAAAATTCATGCAAAAAGCAGAGCTGACTATTCAAATTGGCTTCCATTTCCTGATTTTAGGGATCCGACTGGCTAGGAGATCAGGATGCCATTCATTACATGACCAGGGAAGCTTGCCGTGCTGTGATTGAACTGGAAAACTATGGTGGGTTGTTGTAAATCACACCACTTGTTTTCCTAATGTTGCGTTCATCAGGCATGCCTTTCTCGCGTACACCCGATGGAAAGATCTATCAGCGTGCTTTCGGAGGACAGTCAAACGACTATGGGCGTGGTGGACAAGCTCACAGGTATGATAACTTAGCTTGGTTGCTTTGGCTTTCGCAGGAATAAGCTTTTCTTAGTATTGAACACAGTTTCTATAGACCCGCTTTCATAAGTGTTTGAGATTGTGCAATCAGAATAATTGACATGCTGTTTTATTTACACTGTATCAACAGTGATATCCCTTTTTCCAACGGCGCATCTATAGAGCCTCGCGCCACACTCGTTGTTGTATAGCTTCTGCCGTAGTCGAAGGAGAATCGAGGCCCTTCGCGCTACAGGCGTACCTTCCACGTAAATGGGACATTACACTGAGATAGAGTCTACATGCCTTACATAGTCACTGTCATTTTGAAAAGAAATTTTGAAAAGAAATAAGAGGTTGCACAAATGTAGCCTCAAATTGCAAATCCGATGTGACTAATCTGAATGAAATTAGCTTTTTTTTTCTTGAACAGAAAATTACTAAGGCAAATAAATAATGGTAATATAGGGGGAAAATTGAAGTTGTGATTTAATTGAAATCTTGCAGGACTTGTGCTGTCGCTGATCGTACTGGACATTCCTTACTTCATACCCTTTATGGAGCGTCATTGCAGTATAACTGCAATTACTTCGTAGAGTATTTTGCTCTTGATCTCATCATGGATAAGGTAAATCACATGTACACCGGTACGCGATCTAGAGCAGTTGTCTATCTGCTGATGATTATCTCACCCCATAATCCATGGGCACTGAACTGCCTGCTTTATAGGGTGCTTGCGTGGGTGTTGTCGCGATGTGTCTTGAAGATGGAACAATTCACCGATTCCGAGCAAAGAACACTGTTTTGGCAACCGGAGGATTTGGTCGAACCTACTTCTCTTGCACTTCAGCTCATACTTGCACCGGTGACGGTACGTCTTCCATCAGCATAAATTCGTTATGGGAAAAATGTATTTCTATCCTCTATCAAAGACCTTTATGAGTCATCGAGTCATGGTATCATTCTCAGGCACTGCTATGGTCTCCCGAGCGGGTATCAACAACACCGACATGGAATTCGTCCAGTTCCATCCGACTGGTATCTATGGTGCCGGATGCCTGATCACTGAAGGATCTCGAGGCATGCCCGTGGCTTGAGTTCATTTTTTTCAGGAAACATCGGCATGTTTAGGAGAAGGCGGGTATCTTGTGAATTCCAAAGGGGAACGCTTCATGGAACGCTATGCACCAAATGCAAAAGATCTGGCCTCTCGTGATGTTGTTTCTCGTGCTATGACCGTCGAAGTTATGGAGGGTCGTGGTGTTGGTCCAGAAAAGGATCACATCTTCCTACAATTGCACCACCTACCTGCTCAACAACTTCACGAACGACTGCCAGGTCTGTCTCAGTAGTGGCATATATCTTCTTTTCGAATTTCTTTGAATTATATCCCTCTCCTTTCTTGCAGGTATTTCCGAAACTGCCATGATCTTTGCTGACGTTGATGTCACAAAAGAGCCAATCCCTGTCATTCCGACTGTGCATTATTGTATGGGTGGTATTCCTACCAACTACAAAGGACAAGTATGAAGATTGCAGCTTACTGAGTGTCACTGATTAATAGCTTTTAGGTAATTAGCTACACCAAGGAGAAAGGCGACCAGGTTGTCCCAGGACTTTATGCCGCTGGAGAATGCTCAGCGCAATCTGTACATGGTGCAAATCGTCTTGGAGCTAACTCGCTTCTTGACATCGTCATTTTCGGAAGAGCTGCTGCTTTGAGGTACTAATGTATAAGTTCATTCCGATTCAAGATATCACGTATTTTAGCATTCTCGAACACACCAAGCCCGGAGTTGGAGTACCAGATCTACCAAAGGACGCTGGAGAGTCATCTGTTGAAAACATTGATACCCTGCTTCACAGAAAGGTATGCAAACATTGTAAGAAAAAAAGCAAATATATCGGCTTTCATGTTGTAGGATGGCCCGTCTACTGCAAAAGTCAGACTGCAGTTGCAGAAAACTATGCAGAAGCACGCAGCTGTGTTCAGGCGTGGCGATATCCTTCAGGTATATGAATTCATTCACTCGCGTAGCCCTGTCATTCCAGGTACATTATAAATGTATTTTAGGAAGGTGTCAAGAAAGTGCAGGATATCTACAAAGAGATTAACAGGTTACATGTGCTGGATAGCAGCTTGATCTGGAACAGCGATCTGATAGAAACTTTGGAGCTTCAAAATCTCCTTATCAATGGTATACAAACAATTGTTGCTGCCGAGGCTAGAAAGGTAGTTTTATTTACTTCGAAAAAGTATGGTAAAACGAAATACTTGTCAGGAATCGCGTGGTGCCCATGCTCGTGACGATTTCCCCAAGCGTATTGACGAGTATGATTATAGCAAGCCAGTCGAAGGGCAAAAGAAGAAGCCGATCGAGGTAAGAACAGTTTTTTTTACCTGCTTTGTCGTGCCCTTTCTCTGATTTTTTCTCTTGACTCTTGCTGCTCTCAGCGTCATGCTGAATTTTATAAGATACACCAGCATTGCAAATTTGGCATTGCCACTCTTTTTCGCATATAATATGCTGTTACAAGACAGTTGATTTACTGGTGATAAGTTTTTTCACCTCTTTTTTTCAAGGAGCATTGGCGTAAGCACACCATGATCCACGTCGATGTTCCCACCGGCAATGTGAAGTTGGACTACCGCCCAGTCATCGACAAAACTTTGGACAAGAGCGAAACAGATTGGATCCCTCCAAAGATCCGTTCATATTAAGCATTTCGTATAGGTTGTTCAGCTGTCATTATGTACCTAGTACTCTTTCCCCATCGTAACGGTGGTATATGTCCTGGTCTTTGAAAACATGTCTCCGGTTTGTTACTACGGTGGTCTTTGTGCTAGTATAGATTAGTGTACATCTTTCAAATTAGCTTCAAGTTCACGTAGGTTGTTGTTTATAGTTGTAATCAACTAATTATGTAGCATGCGAATGCGAAAATTGCATTTTTCTCAATAAAAACGTGCTCGTCTTTCGTGTTGAGGTAGGCTTATGCGATTGGTCCACCAGCCATATTTTATCTGATGAACTGATCGCAACCAGTTAGCCAAACATAAAGCCGAAAATTCCGTGTAGCAGTGGCTGAATGCTGTGACAATGAGCCAGAACGTTCAAGAAGTCACTGCTCGGGCAGTGGAGGCGTGTCAACGTGGCAGCATTGATGCTTTGGAAGCGGCTCTGAAAGAAGGCGTGCAACCAAATGCCACGGATGCTGATGGTTGCTCTTTGCTGCATTGGGCTGCCATAAACAATCGTTTGGATATTATTCAAAGGTGCCCAGTTTAGTCAGAAGTTTATTTCTGGTTCATTTTTTAGTGGGAGAGAGCTTCTTCCAATTCAACAGTATTACACAAGTATCAAACAACCTATGACTAGGAGACTCGAGATCGCTTTGCAGTCGTTGTTCAAACAAGATTGGACCTGTTATATTGCTGTACACCACATGCTTGTTTAGACAATGCATGCAAAGGGGTCTCGAGTCCTGACCATAGAATAAATGTAGTAATTTCACTTTCTTTGGCAATTATTATCTTTCCTGACTTCTCGAATGCTTCAAATTATGTCAGTTTCTGTCGTATATACATTACAGAACCACTTGTGACGAGTCTTGGCCAGGATACCTTTTTCTGCAATCGTTTAGTAGTTAGGTCCCAAAATGGAGAAACATGCGTATAGGTTATCGGCCGGTGATATAAGGTCCAAGAAAACCTTTGGAACGGATCTTCTTAGCCATTTCATTTTAGAACTCTTATCTGGTGTTCTACTTAGTTGATCACGAACTATGAAAAGTAATGCAAAAGCGCCCATTTGGAGAACATGCACCTTGGCAACGAATTGAATCAAAGATAATTTGACATTTGTGTGTCGACCATGTCATAGATATTTTCTATCACATTTTTCGACTATTTATCGGTTTTTGAATGCTGAAGCTTGGGAGTTACTCCGACTGCTTATTTCCAGCTCTAATCTATAACACTATGTATAATCTTCGCTAGGCTGCTCGAACTTGGTGCAGATCCGAATGTGGTCGGTGGGCTACTTGTGTCATCGCCGTTACATTGGGCTGCACGTGTGGGACATAGCAACAGTGCGGCACTGCTTGTTAAAGTAATTAGAAAGTTTTTATGTGATAAAAAAGGAGCAGCGATATGTTTTCTTAGGCAGGTGCTGTAGCTAATGTACGTGACACACAAGGATATGCCCCTATCCATCTAGCCGTACAAACTAACCAGTCGACACTCGTTGCATATCTTCTGGAGAAGTTTGACTATTGCAAAGATATAACGGACAATAGTGGTATGTCATCTCTCACTTGCTGCGTCGGAATGTTCCGAGTTAAATCCTCCAGGAATGACACCAGTCATGTGGGCGGCATATCGTACCTTTGGAATGTTTCCAATCCGGTTACTAGTCAGAGCCGGAGCAAATCTGAATGCTCAAGAGCATCTATCTGGCAACACTGCGCTCCACATAGCAGCACAGGAGAGAAATTATTGTTCCGTAAGGTATGAAACCTAAACTAGACTGCTAATATGCATTCATAATCTTACAGAGAGTTACTAGCGGGTAACGCGGATCTTCTCCTGCGTAATAAACAGCAAGAGACACCTATGGATATTGCAAGGAACATGAGGAATCACAAGATCATAGGTAAGTTGTTTGTTTTGATACTTACTGAACTCGCTTTTTTTCGTCACTCATTTCGGATACGATACATCATTATGCTTTCATATCAAACTTTCACGTTGAAATTTTCCTATAATGCTATTTTTGATAGGTATGCTGGAGGAAGCAATGGTATCTCGTGGAAAAACGCCGGCGAAGTGTAAAGCTTGTAGGACGGTTTTTACAAAGAGAGTCACTCATTCGTTGGAATTCTTCATCCCCGGTAAGTTTGACCAATATTAAAATTTTGCTGTTTATACTAACAGCTTTCTTCTGATGTTTTTTTAACTTACTCATAAAAGTTTCTTTTGCGGTAGTTAGCTACCATGATTGTTCGCATGACATTTTTCCATCAACTCATATCTCTGTTATTTCTTAAGCATGCCGTGAATGAATGATGGTCATTTCAGGTCTAGTTCTGGCTTCGATCGCGTTGATGTTTCATTTATTCCACTATATGGTAGTCGGTGCTATTCTTGTTCTGGGTTTCATAGCCTTGCAATGTGTTAGCAAATTTGATTTCCACACTGCTTCGAAAAGTCTCGTTCCCGTCGGAATTTGCGTTGCTGAGCCTGTATGTATGGTCCTCACCTGGTGAGTCATCTCATATGATTGTCTGCGCCACCATCTCAGCCATTTCTTTAGGTGCTTTTCTTTGCATTATTTCGTTTCCTGGTATCTACAAATCGCGTTCGTTCTGGTCATGTGCACTTTATTCTGGTCACTTTATAAGTACGTTTGCAGACAGACTAGTTAGGCGAAACTTCAGAGGCTTATACGGACCATTGGATTTTTGTAATTTTTGTAATTTCTGTTTTAGGATCATATTCTCTAATCCCGGTGTTATCGAACCAAGGGAGGACGCACGAACTCAATTTGTGAATATGCTTGAGCACTGTGAACGTGTCAATTTCTGCTTCACATGTTGGGTCAACAAGCCAAAGCGAGCGAAACACTGCAGTGTTTGTGACAGGTGGCTTCATTGCTCTTGCAGCTCGTTCTTCTAAAGTAGGTAGTAGTAAAATCTCAAATTATTGCAGATGCGTCATGGATTTTGACCACCATTGTCCATGGCTTCATCAGTGTATAACGATTCGCAATCTCCGCATGTTCCTTTTATTTGTCGCATGTGTGGCCGTGTCGGCGGGAATCTTTTCCTATGCATGCGGCCACCTTATATATACGAGAATTGTCAGGATCAATCCAGGTTTGTCAAAATGACACAACCATCTCATTTGCACAACCAATGTCGTGTAAGTGTATTACAAAATTCAAATGAGACATGGTGTACTTGCGAAGTCACAAAAATCGAGGTTGCTAATTGATAGCTGACATTCGTTCCCTACTTTTTGCTTCTGACCTTTCGGTGTTAATATTTGTATATGTCCAGGCTTTCTTTCTAATTTTTCAGGAGACACGCCATATAGATTATTGGCAATCGCTGATGGTATTTTCAAGTCTAGCAGTTGGCTCTTATTCTGTCTCACTTTAGCATTTTTCCATGCAATCATGCTGACGGCATTATTAGTCAACCAGTGTATACAGGTCAGGATCTTCAATCATTTATAGACTGTATCCCGCGATGCTTCCATAGATGCCTCCGCTTCGCCTGCCTCTCGCCCTTGCGCTGCCTCTGGCGCGTCTTTTCAGTGCATTCGTTCCTGGTGCGTATCTAAGCGTAAAAGGCACAGTAAATGGGCTGCGTTGCGGTGGTAGCTACGAGAATCTTGAAACTCACATTATTTTGAATTGTGATTTCCACGCATAACTGTCTTCGTTTAAGATTTCTGAAAACCTAAGCACTATGGATCGCATCCGGATTAGTCGTGGGCATCACTACACTCCCGTAAATGCAGAGTCAGCCGACAACCCAGTTGAGCCAGCCCTGACATTTTCCACCCGTCTACGAAATGTCGCCGATTTCTGCATCGACAGTTTCTGAGTTATTCTTCAGGTCATACGTTCGAGTATCGTTTGTGTGCTAAAGTGTGTTTGCCGCGTTCTTTGTACCTCCTGACCATATGTTCACAATCTCTTACAGGATCTTTGCTACTTATATAGGTTTTTTGAATTTGTGGTCCAAAGTTTCGCTTGCGCAAATTTTATCAGTTTAGAATCGATACTGAGAGTGCGCTCACCACAGGTATCTTGATGTAGTAAGTTTGCATAGAGATATAGTTCCATTTCCAATTATAAATCCACTATGGTTGTGGATGCAATAAGCCTTTGCTTAGCACAGCTTGCTATCCTATTCATTTCGGTAAAAAAAATGCAAGCTATCATTTCCGTGCCAGTATATCATGTAAGTCAGTGAGCATTTTGCGAATGTTTTTTTTTTCTAGATCCTACCAGCTTTAACCATTCAATGGTGTCTGATTAGCTGTTGATTTATCCGCTCAAATACCGCGCAGCTTCTCAAATGCTGCGGTTATATTCACTTAAGATTTTACGTTGTTTTTGTTGTTCTCGACACAACATATTTTTGAGCAATTTTTGTTGGATTTGATTGTTCTGGCATGTCCTGCTGTTCTTCTTTCTGTATAGCGATTTTAAAGAAGAGCACATATTTCACTTTTTCTGTCGTGATATTTTTTGACTAGTTGACGATTTACTTCGCCATGGGTTCTGTACTGTATAGTTATTTGATCTCTTTCCTCTCCGATAAACCGATTCAGCAATCGTGATGTAGTAAATTAGTGGCATTTTAGATTTCACGCGTCACCAGATTAGACTTTGTTTATCGCGAGACTTCTAGCGATGATTCTATCCATGACAACAAATTAATTTGCTAGTCTTCGATAATGATAACAGTATCGTCAGTGGTATCCAATCGTTAAGGCGGTTTTTCTTCTTTCTTGCTCTCATCAATTCTGCGCTGATCATTTTTCAACATATGAAGGACATTAATCGAGGACGTATGCAAATTGAATGTTCACGAAGCAGTTGTGGAGTTATATACAGGGTGTCCCGAAAAGGTGTGCACACTGTTTGATCTTGGATAATTAGATTGCTTCAAAGTCTTTTGTCGACCTTTAGGCACCATTCTGTAGAGCTGGATTCAACTTAGATTCACAGTATCGAGCGAGTCTCCGATCCTTCTTCGTTACTGTAGGATTACGGGACTAACTTTGAAGATTTCCCGTTAGAAATCCCATTTTGCCTCAGAAATGAAGTCAAACAAGCCAAAGAACTCATATTAGCCTAAATGGAATCGCTGATTTCAGATATGGAATTTGCACACCAGGGTCATGCTTTCTTCATAGGTTATATCAGAAAAACAGCAATGACTACTTTCCCGAAGTTCAAGATGTGATTACACCTCTAAAAAAGCTCAGAAATTTTGAATTCGCATACTGGAATCAACTTGCTTGAAAACCCTGGTACACGTTTTTATAGGGTTTTTTTTTAAATTCCTCATCAAATGGTCTAATTCACTATGGTGCAGTATGCTGAGTTCCTACTGTAATCCTACAGTAATGTAGATTAGAGCTAAGCGCAACTCTACAGAATGGTGCCTGAAGGTCTATAGAATACATCGAAGCGAGCGAGATATTGAAGATCAGAGTGCACATCCTTTTGGGACATTTAATATACAGCCTTTTGTACGGAGCCACAGTACAGCATTCTATGCAATGTCAAGTTGATTGCTCAGGATTGGAAGTTAGAAGCGTGTTTCAAGAAAAAAAAATGAGAATTTGATCGCATCAAGTTTTTGTCGTAAATAATATCAAGGTGAATACTTTATTACTGTTATTAATTATGACCTCACTGTACATATATTCCATTGGTAGGATTGATCTGTGCAAGGAATGTTCAGCTGTCAAAAGTACACGTAAGCAGGCTAAGGCGTTTTCGATGAAAGTTGAGTTGAATTTCTCAAAGTTGATGTCATATCCTCGCTAGCGATCCATATTCTTCATCAGGTTTTGGAAGCATTTGATGCAGAAGATGTGTAAAAGCCGTTCGAAATCGTGTCGACATAAGATTGTAAAATATTGGGTTGAGAGTAGCCGAGATGTATTGCAGTAGACCTTAAAAAAAGATTACAAAAAAAACAGTTAAATTGAACACTAAGATGGCTAAGGGCTAGCCCCGGACCAATGCGAATGGCCTATCGTTGCGAAGCGGACGCGAACGCGGCCTTTCCACCTGTCTCGCTGGAGCGAGTTTGACTTACACGCCGCGTTTGCGCCCCATATACGCATCTGTCTCCGTCCAGGATTAACCTTCATTACTCCGAATAATGGCGAAGAAATTCTACCTGTGACTGGATAGAGCAACAAGCAGAACATCGAACTGTTACATTGCTGTTTCGTATACTGTACTATCAATCGCTCTATGTGATATGGCAGATAACACACGAAGAACACAGCTGTTACAGTAGCTATAAGATGAAAGTGTGAAGTTCTGAAACTACACAGTTGAACTTATACTCACAAAGCATCTTTATAACCATTCTTTGGGCTTGCTGGCTTTTCGGTGGCGCGTAGTTCTTCGTGTGAACATAGAGTATATTCGGCTGAGTAGAATCTGCACTGCTAGTGTTTCCTATAGGCATATGAACACGAGTAGCCGTTGACATTTCATTTAAGGTAGCTGAAATGACATTTTTCAGAGGATATTCCCTAGAGGCAGAGCCTATGCGAATCTGTGTACTTTCTAGACTTCTGTGGATTGTATGATTGGAAAGCCCTTGAGCTATTACCCAAGTGACAACTTATATAGTCCCGTTTGAGAAACACATCTAAAATTGCTCAAGTGGGCCATTCAGCGTCCTCGATACGGTAGATAGTACGGTATGGAACGGAAGCTTAGGATTTGATTCCTCTGCCATGAATAAGACATACAAATTGTCATTAGGGCAATTGGCTGTCGATTCCAATCAGTTTCCACCCAAGAATCCCAACACCCAGATCTGCATAATGACTACTTAATTCGGAAGGATTACCTAAAATCCGTGCATAGCAATATACAATGAATATTAGTGGTAGTACGAATGTGACAACCATTGTCAACTGAAATCCCAAATTAAAGCGATTGCGCAAAATTATTTGTAGCTGATTTTACCTCAAACGGATACCGAAATGGTACGTTTTGGCTCGTAACATAGTCACAACTTCCTCGTCTTGAATCCAGCTCTCGATTGTATCCGCAAAAATCAGGAACAACTACTTTGAACTGCAAAAAAGACTGCGAAAATTAATTGAGCTAAATGGCTATATACTGTGCCGGATAAGACAACGAAATACAGTTGCTAAATTCACCAGTTTTCTCAAGCTAGGCTTGCGCGAAAAAATGGCCGCAGAGTGCACATTGCGGTTTACGTGCAAATGTTGTCAACAACGCAAGTACACTATATTCACCGATGAATTTATTAGAGGAAGAGCTTACCTGTAGACCAATATACAACGACGGGAAAAAAGCAAGCATCCATATCAAATAGATTAAATAGATCACTCTAAAATGTTTCCTTTAGTGTACGTTATCCTCTTGTTGTCATGTCATTATATTATAGACTAGTGAAACAGTAATCAAAGATGCTAGAGTGTACATGCGCCTTCGGGAACGCCAAGCGGTTTCCCGCTATTTGCAGATTTTTGAATTGCGCTTACTTTTCTTTATATATTAGATTTTGATGGGGAAGGCAACTTTGAGTCGAACGTTTTTCTTTGTGAGAAGAATGCCCAGAATTATTGTAAATAATGGAAATAGCGCCAAAATATATCCAGAAAGGTTACGAAGAGAAGCTGTATTTTATATTTTAGATATATAATGCAACATTAGTGACTATAGTATAGACCCAGACGAAGGCAGCTGCTTATACTGAACGCGAGCGCATTGGCGCGTAGACGGTTACCTGACTCTAGTCTCTGCACCATAGGCGCGCAGAACATAAGCGCGTTAGGCTGAGTTCATACTGATCCGGAACCTGGAACTGTTCCGGATATTCCGGAACAGTTCCAGCACAGTTCTAGCACTTTGCTGGAACCGTACAGGAACAGTGCTGCATACGCTGAAGCCGCCCGCATGGTATTTTGGGCGGCAGGAGTTGGGAGATTTTGACCGTTTTTAGTGGTTTTTCCCTCAAAATTCGCTCATTGTCTCATTCTTCTACCCCGCATCCCCTTAGAATGGGAAGAGCCTCGATCATGAAGCGGGGTTGAAAAATAAGCGCCGTTCTGCTTCCATGTATCCGGGAAGATGTGTCTCCATGCGCTTGTCCATTCTCTCTTTGTTATCTTACTCAGACCTGCTTCTTGTGTTTTAGAAACCCTTCTATGCCCCTTTTAAGCAGATGGGGAACTATGCGGCGGCTTCCTGTACAAATGAATAGTTCTGAACAAAAGAAACGAAGAAAAAGTGGCGAGCGCATGAAAAACTGGATGCATGAAACAGAACGGCGCTTATTCTCCAAGCCCACTTCATATCAAAGCTCTCTCAAAAGAGGAACCGGAGTAAGAGAATGAGACCCAACTGAGTGAAATCTGAGAGAAAAAACTGGAATTTCTTATTATTCATAGTAAGCTTGTGCTAAAGTAATCTCGTCAAACCTTCGTTTATCGAAGAGCGCACGATGACTGAATGGATAACAAATAGCTACAAAACGTTCCGCAGTCAATGATACAATCGTCAAAATCGAAGCGAAGGTGAACAACGAAATCGATGTGCCTGAAATTGCTGCTCTTGGCAATGGTACTGTAGCTACAGTATCCAGCGCAACGCACTCATGAAAGCACAGTATCCCGCAATAGCCGGCGGCCGGTCTTTCCGCCACAGATGGCAGAGGTCGAATGGCACTCCAACGATGATGAGACACAGGTCCGATATGGCAAGTGAGGCGAGAAAATAGTTGGTATGTGAGTGCAGCGATGGGGTCTGAAATTTCATGATATTACTACTTTTTAGGGAGGGTTTAGAGATTCTATGTTTAGAGACTGAAAATGGAGCAGCCTATCTAAATGCGAAATTGATATTCTCGGGATATGCTGTAACTTAGCAATCCGCCATAAATCCGCCCATAATTTTGTGAGTCACAAGCAAGTGTATCACAAACATAAAAAGAAAACAGTGATTGCGATTCATTTACTGATTTTTTTAGATATAACAAATTTTCAAAAATTTGCGACATTCTGTCCAATCCCCCCGCCCTCAAATGGAACGCAAAATTTGCAAAAGTAGCCTACGTGAGTTGAAAGTTATACAAATGACTTTATGGCTTGTAAATAATTGCGACCAACTTTTTATTCTACATATTTATATAAAATTGAAATACTATATAAAAAATTTTGAAGGTTTCTGTCGCTACGTCGAACAAATCTTGGAAAACATCACAAAATTCTTTTTTTTCTTCCGAAAAATTTCTATTGTAACAGCCCCCCTCCTAAGTCCAAATAAAGACATTTTTGGACCGTCATGTATGTATAATAGGTAAGAACAAACTAGTAGACTTCCAGTCAAATTATCGACCTATTACCAGGTAAGCTCATTTCCAATTTTGAGAATTTTTCAACTAAATCAGGATTTTACCAGCGTACAATGTAATCTGGTTTTAGTGTTTCGCGCTCAAATCAAGATCATGTTTGAGCACTTTAGTCGTGCAATGCTCTTCGAAATTTGCATTATGTCCACCATGAAAATCTATGAAGACATGAAACATACTTGTCCTTCACATCTTATATATAAAGCTGAATGTCTGTTTGTCTGTCTGTCTGTCTGTCTGTATGTCTGTCTGTCTGTCTGTCTGTATGTGTGTACGTATGTTCCGAATAGAAAATTCCATTTCTGCACCGATCGGGACCAAACTTGGCACACATACACTTCGGGCCTTGGCGGGTGTCATAGGCTACTTTCAGTGGCGTACCGAGGGGGGGGGGGGCGGGGGGGCGCGCGCCTCCCCCGAGAATGGGTCGCGAAATTTTTGAAAGTTACCTATGTGGGTTATAAAAATGTGCAAACGACTTGTTTATTTTTGTAAATAATTAAAATAATTTTTAAAATTTTTAAAAATTCATTTTAGCCTTATAAAAAATTTTTTTTCGGGGGCGTGGCTGACGCCACGCCCCCTTTTTCCAGATTCTAGGGGTTGGGGACCCGCAAAAATTTTGAGAAGCACCCCAAAAATTTTTTCGGAGTGCGTGGCTAACGCCACGCACCTTCATTAGAAAAATTTTTTGTCGCGCCCCCCCCCCCCGAGCCGAAATCCTGGGTACGCCACTGGCTACTTTTCGTATCGATCGATATCGATTTTATCGATTTTTTGCAAAATTTGAGCTGGGGGGCTGGGATTTGGCACAGGGGGGTAATCGAGCATGCTGATCACCTCGGAATCCCCATGCTCACTTACCCCCCTGTGCCAAATCCCAGCCCCCCAGCTCAAATTTTGCAAAAAATCGATAAAATCGATAAAAGTAATGCACGGTTTCGAAAACTAATATTGTATTCGGAATCAGCATGCTCGATTACACCCCTCTGCCAACTCCCAGCCCCGTAGCTCAAATTTTGCAAAAAATCGATAAAATCGACATCGATCGATAACGAAAAGTGGACTGTGACACCTGCCGGGGCCCGAAGGGTATGTGTGCCAAGTTTGGTCCGGATCGGTTAAGAAATGGAATTTTCTATTCGGAAGATACGGCGGAGCCGGGTAAGCCAGCTAGTTTAATCTAAAAGTGTCATTACTAAGTGAGCTGGAAATAGCTAGCAGTACGATATTCAAATAGAAAAAAGAGGAGAAAGCTGGTTTTATCCAAAGCTTCTCTTACTTACGGAAATTACTCACCTTGTAAATGACCAGAACGGTGAGAACATTGCCGACAAGCCCAATACATCCAACAAGCAAAAACAGAACCGACAATAGTAACTTTAGAGTATACGGAGTAGGTGTCTCCCTAAAAAAATTAATCCAGGCAACGTGTGCACTCAAGCTGCGCATGTGCCATCCCGTGCTAGCGCCGTGCCAGCACCCATACGGACTCTGCCGGGCATTGATCGACACTGGCACACACACTCTAAACGCAGCCTTAGGCAGACTGGCAAACCTCGAATCAGCGAAGTCATCTGTAGTATTAGAGCTATATATAAACAAAGTAAGATTAGCGAAATCTGCCACTTGATCCAGATGACAGTATTGCTTCAGCACATCAACAGGCAAATTAAGTACAGATTTCTGAACAATTTCGTTGATTTTAGAGGCGTCGAAAAGTTCCGAACTTACAAGGCTGCCATTTTCATCCCTTATTTTCAAACTGAGCATCGCTGCAATAACACTGTCATTTTCCATTATATCAAACATACTTGTTGAAGAATGGGCTATCGAACATGAATGTAACTCTGAAAATATGCGTTGATGTTGAGTGCTGAATGAGATCTGCCGATCAGAATGAAGAAGATTTTGGCAAACGCAATCACGCGCCTGAGTTAAAGTCAATAGGAGAAGGCGGGCAAATTTGATTGCCCGACTTCTTAGGATACACCTAGAGTTATCCGTACTGTCGCCGTTCCAGCGCCGTGCTAGCTACGTACCAAAAATGCGCCGGCGGAATATATCGAACAACATGAATTGCGTTCAAGCGGGTTGGCACGGCGCTGGAATGGCGATGGTACGGATAACTCTATTTGGGAGACCTTAGTTGAGCCACTAACTCAAACAGCAAAAGCGCAGTACACGTGTTTCAATCGTGAGAGAGAAATTCAGAGAAATTCAAGTCCACATTCCAATACTGATCGTATTATTTTTGACCGGATCAGTCAACACCGGATCAGTCAACGTCAAACGGTAGAAAATCGTCTAGATTGGAGTTTAGTAAAGGATTGCTTGACCAGATATCAATCACATGAGCTAGCTCTCGAGTGATGGGCTTGATCAGTCCCTTAAAAGCAGTGTTCCGGCAAAATTTCGCTTTCCAGTTTATCACCTAATCGGAGCCTTCTCGCCATGTAGAATCCATACATGAGCTTCAGCGCATGAAAATGTTGGAAATGAGCTTTTTCCGAAGCTTTTCAGGTCCGCATTCAGTGAAAAATACGTGCACCTGGGCGGGACCCGGAACGAGGGAGGAGGGACGCGGAAGCCTTCCGGCGTATTTTCGCTGAATGCGGACCTAAGCTCCAAAAAAGGCTCAATTCCGACATTTTCATTGGGTTCCTCATGGCGAGAAAGTCTCTGACTAAGTGAAAGAAACGTTTCGGCGGGACAATGCCTTTAATCAGTGTCAAAAAGTCCAGGTACGATTTCCCTGAACCACTGTCAAAATCAACAGAATTTGCTCTTTATTTACAGAACGCTAGAAACAAGTATTAGATGGCAGAGCAGAACTTCACATGGCTAATTCGTCCCAATTATAAGGTGTCTTTCTTTTTACTTTTCAAAGATTTTCGTTCACCCATTTTCGGAGGGCTGAGATGACTTCAACTGCGCAACTCAAACGTAAAGCTATAACTAGTTAACGAGGAGTTTACACTTTGCAAGCAGCAAAAATGTCTTTTTTTGGATGATTAGAACCTAAATATGATGAGCTTCATTACCGCGTGAATAGGTTACAACGTATTTTTCTTCAATAGGAGCTGAAATCTTGAAATTCAACAATGGGATTATCATGAAATAAGGCAGGATTTTCTGCTACGATGACAATGCACGACACTCAATGAAGTTTCGGAAATAGTAATTATATCAGCAAAGATGTTAGAAAAGATTAATTGCTTTCACACAGCTCTTTCCAGACAGGCTGTAATTAAAAGAATGTTCCAGATAGGGGAGCAGCGAGCAGCTTGAAAAGAGATTGCACTTTTTCCATATTCAATATGGCTCTGTGCTTTGTGTCGAGGTGGAGCCAAAACTAAGCTCAAAAAATTTCTTAAAGTCTGGATCACATGGCATCATGTCTGATATTGAGGAAAGAGATAGAAAAGAAAAAAGAAAGGCAGTGATGCTGAAGTGCAGAGATAAACAATCCTCAGATTTTGATTGAATAGATAGTCACAAGTGAATTCTAATTCTGCTATGTTTCGGGACCAAAAACCAAGAAACCCCGTGTATTTTCAGTAGGATATCAAGAGCTGCAAACACGACTGCTGTCGAATGCAATTTGAGGTTCAGACAGATCCTTGACGAAGCTATTCGACATCCACTACACTGTGCTTATTGGAAGGGAGAATGTTCAAATGCAAAAATGTTGGAACAAAGACCTCTCCGGTGCAAAACTCAAAGGGGCTAAAGCAGTTTTGACACAAGAAAGTCTCGTATTTTTTGCTATTTTTAGAGATAATTGAGCCAGATTATTCGAATGAAACATATAAATGGTAGATTAAATCACAAGTTTTATATTGATCATTCTACTCTCAAACATAGAGAGATATGGATGGTGCAAAGTCGATGGACTCACTAATGACGACATGAGCCACCGGTGGCCACGGTGCTTTTAGAAAAGTTTCCCTTCTAATTTCGTATCTAAGCGTGATTCTGCATCTAAACGAATTTACAGTGGACATTTCTGCATGCTTTACTTACGCGAACATCTCATCCACAAAAAAAAACAGAAAAATCAAAACTTTATGCGAAGTGACCTTTAAAGCAACACAGCTTCTCCAAATTTGACCATGATTATAGATGTGCGCAGGCACAAGAAAATTTATATTGGAACTATATTGATACCTGATTGTCGTGTAATGAAAGGTAAAGATGATTTGTAAAATTATTGTATTAAATTGTGGTTCAACTGACAAGTTTGTGTGCTTTTGTTTAGGCATCATATTCGAACTATTTATGAGGACCTGACTGTGCTTTTCTTGTAGTCAAGAGTAAATCACATAAGTAAGCAATGAATATCGTTGCATTTATAGAAGCACTTTAGTGAGTTCTGGTAACAGATCTCAGCCGACTGCACTGAGCAATGTATTTTTTTTCCTGCACCTCTAAGAAATGGACATCACACACCAATGCTTCATTCCCTTCGTCACAGAATAAACTATAGGAACACCTGAAAAAGATGATCTATGATAAATTTTATCGGCTGTCACCTATGATTGCAAAAGGTTAATTATATTGGACTCTTCTCGTTCAGATTTTGATTTTGAATAGTCTGTCACTATCCAAAATATCACTCATGTCTAGGTTTTACAGGTTATTTCCAGAGAGTCCTTCTATTTTTCCAACGTGGCCGTGAGCTGTTACTGAGGATTGATGAAGGGTCCCGCTCTTGAACGAGATGACGGTTGCACAAAAAGAGGGGTGATAAATTTTAGAGGTGGCTTTGCACCAGCAAGCTCTATGTAGTAGCCTCATATTTATAAAACTTTCTTCCCAAGAAGAAGAAAAGCTTCGCCGCTTCAAAAATTACAGAGATGATCTTATATACATCAGACTGTTATAAACTCAAAGGTTAGAACGGATAAGTTATAAGCTCTATTACACAGGAGAGCAAAAATTAGTGCAAAAAAGTTTGCTGTTCAATGCGACATCATCTGTAAGTTCATGAGGAACTAGGATCAAATGTCATTTTACTTATGATAATCTCCTTTGCTCATATGAAATCTTCTTCTTTTGTTGGATTAATATAATGTAAACAACACGGATATTTAAATTTAGTTATGCCATATTCTTATATGATTTTGATTTTATTTATATTGCACTTGAATATGATGGAAAGATCACTAATTTTCAACTCTTTACAAGACACTAAGTCTTCCTTTTCTTACTGAGAAGTTCCGGGGAGTAGTTAGAAATCAAGTCATACCCCGTCTAAGGGAAGGAACGAAAAGGAGTGAAAACGTAACATATTTTGTCCTTTATTGTCAAGATAATGCAGTACTGGCTAAAGAGCCCAACATATTCAGGAAGAAGCTCTTCTGCTCCAATGAACAAGAACACTGACCGAAGAACGATCATTGCAAGAATATTTTTGCACGCCTTTCCCATTATCGGAGATATTGTAATCTCACGAAAATCCCTTGTAAGTAGGCAATCTTGCTTTTTCGACATTTTATGTTTACATATTCTGTGGATGCATTTTTCCCAGCATTACAGATCCAGCTTTGCAGGAATTTTAAGGCTCAAGAGTATTTTCTAAAAAAAAAACAATGCGAGATAAGTATTGATAATGATGATGATGTTGATGATGATGATGATATATGACATTTTACGAATCATGGAGAAGGCGCCGCAGAAGTGCTGAGGAGTCTAAGGATTATTCTAGAAATTCTTGCTTATGGGCAAATATTAGGTTGGCCTGAAAGTTCTCTCGCACCAAATTCAAAAATTCATAACTTCTGATTTTTCCATTTGGCTGCTCTTATTTTTGTATGAAAGAGTAAGTCATGCTCTTTATAACGACATCTTAGATGCTTGCTAATGATCATCTGTTGCATAGATAGGAGCGATAGAAGAAAATTAGTCAAAATTCGAATTTTCTGTGTAGGGTCATAAAAAATCGGAGACTTGGAACAAAAATCGGAGCAGTCAGTATTATAGGTTCTTTCACCAGCTCTTTCTAACAAAGCAAAGATGCGCCGATTAAGCGTCTCTACGAAAAGTTATGATTTCCCTGAAAAATGCCAAAATAAATCAAATTCGCCCTTTTGTATTGCTTGCTCGAAAATCGTAACTTTTCATATATGAAGCTCAATCGGCGCAAACTTTGCACTGTTAAAAAGAGCTGGTGAAAGAACCTATGATACTGACTGCTCCGATTTTTGTTGCAAGTCGCCCATTTTTCATGACCCTACACAGAAAATTCGAATTTTGACTAATTTTCTTCTATCGCTCCTATCTATGCAACAGATGATCATTAGCAAGCAGCTAAGACGTCGTTATAAAGGGCATGACTTGCTCTTTCATACAAAAATAAAAGCAGTCAAATCGATTGGAAATAGAAGTTATGAATTTTTGAATTTGGTGCGAAAGAACTTTCGGGCCAATCTAATATATTAGGTTGTCTCATAATTAATGCACGTTTTTCTAACCTCTTTTTGAAAGAGCTGATTTAAAAAAAACATTTCATTTCAAAACCTCTTATAGTGTCGGAAAGCCCGATTCCTCTAGTTTCTAACACGTGCTTTCGTTTTTGCAAACCTTTGTTAAAGCCGAAGTTTCATGCCTTCAAAAACAAGTAAGTGAAATATGAAATTCTCTCTCTTCACTCTCCTTGCTCTAAATTCATGAAAAGTAGACGGATTTCCTTCGAAAAATATGCATAATGATCGAGAAGCTTTGTGCTACAAAACGCTTGCAGTATGAGATTCTTGAAAAAATTCCTAGCCGAGAAATCTTGTCTCAAATTTGGCTTGTAGCTGAGGCCC